CTTTCAGTGATTTCGTCTTGTTAACAGCCTCGAATGGTCAAAATGAAACGCAATCTAATCAACCAAACACCTCCATAACGTCAGGTGAAATTTGCTACACATCATTTTTTTGGCATAGTCGGCTTCTCTTGAATGTTCGTCTTATTGTTTTACACACGAGTCAAACGGTGTGTTTTTAACTTCTATTTACTGGCTTTCTTTCTGAATAGCAAAGTAAAATGTGAAATACAATCACAAGTGTGCTGAGATACGATCAACAATCCGAACCTAATATGGAGTAGAGTCACACCCACAATCACTCTTCGCTGACACTACGTTTTATGCACTGCACCATCAACCCGTTCGGTACATCGATGTTCCATATTAGGGACACTGATCGCGCCGCGTCTCGGCCTACTGAACTTGCGGTAATGGGTCAGTGTTCCAGTAGAAATCTGATACTTATGAAATATACCCATTTGACTATTGTTATTCTTATTCTACGTATTTGATTATTCTTTCAATTTTTACGAAAAGCAGTTTTGCAATGCTCTACGAAGATTTTAATTTATTAGCACTTATAATAACTTTTTCCAACATGAAACACAAACATTTCCAAAAAGGATTTGCAATGTACAATTGCATTGTAGAACTCAAATGTCATTTTTGGCAAAAAGCTGATCAATTTTTTGCATACTGGAAGCACTGGTATTGATTCAATTAAGGCAAGCTTTGTTGAATTCTTTACTGTGTTATCCTCTTCTATGTTTTCACTTGAGACGAAACCCTCTTCAGTAACCCTAAACTCTGAGTTTCGTCATAAGGCCGCATCCAGGTGAATGGAAAGCGTCCACCAGCGATTCGAAAAACCAAAGTGGTAACAAAACGGAAAAGACCGATGCTATTCGTTCCTTACTCTCAGCTACGTTTAACACTCCACCTCTCATGCTGCGGATTGCCTTCATGGAGAGATCTTTGGTGGGCTAACTACAGAGTACATCTGGAGCCTTGTCAGAGGGTGAACAGGTAGTTTTAACGCGAAACAAAAGCGATCACATACATCTTCGAAACGCAGGTGCATTCAGGAATGGACTGCCTAATTATGCAGCGCCAATTAGGCAAATCTTTGCTCCCACGAATCGACCTGGCCAAAAGCCCGCATAAAAGTGATTCGATAGTACATGGGACGAAGTTCAAATAAGTCGCCACCGATAAAGAAGCTCCTCCGTATCTCTTCGCGGGAGACCGGCTAGCAATCTGTGATATCCCCACTCCAGCGTTTAGAACTCAGCATACATATTCAAATAGCTGAACACAGTAAGAAAAATGAACTTCATTCTTTTGTATTAGAAGCCTGTGGAACGACAGTGTTCTAAAAGAGAAGCTCGGAGAGACTACCGAAATCTTAGAGTCAAATTGGGCTGACAAATCCCAACGGACTAAAGTAAGGACGTGTACCTATAATGCACAAGTACTTACACAAATCCTCTGTAGAGGACCTCATAAGAATAGGACCTCAAAGAATAGGACCATATGCAGGCAAGAAGGATAAGGTACGACGTCATCAGCTTAGCAAAGACGAAAAGACGCCACGCGTCTTGCGCTATCTATGACACCGGAGAGCTGTTAGGAAACATGCGATAGAAGAGTCCGACGGCTCTCGTATATATTCTCGCCAACTCGAGTCGATTCATTCAGACAACTCTCAAACCCGGACGACTGCGGTTGAATGATGTGGTTCAATATCGGCTTTATTCATCTTCGTATCAAACACCAAAATTAGGCCATGACAAAAACGAAGTTGAAGCATTTTAAATAGACACAGAGAAACTTACAGAGAAGGCCATGCATTCTTCACCTTCGTAATTAGAGATTTATGTGCGAAAACTGAACAAGTGGAAAGTTTGGAAAATTGGAGAAGAGCGCCTGAAGTCACGCAAGAGAGGTTGGCTGAGTTTATCGTAAAGACCAATACCATTCATAGTAGCTCATAGATTCAATAGCCCCACTCTCGATGGTGGACGTGAGGTAGACACGGTGGAGAGTGCTATAGCGAATTAGATCATATTAGAGTAAGCCAGAGATTGTGCTTGACCGATGTTGCTTCAAAATACTAGATACGATCAGACCATTGTCTCCCTCGAGCGGCATTCCACTTTTTTGGGTTAGAACATAGGAGGGAAAGCCGCTAAATCCAAGCGAAACCTCAAAACTACCATAAACGAGACGTTTTCAAATCAATCTGCTGTGAGCAAGGTACCGTTATTAACAACATGGACAAAAAAATGTGACCAACTTATTCATCATTCGGAAACATTTAAGTTGCCAAGAAAACATGGAATCCCACGCAGGAAACCAAAAACGCAGGTCCACTTGCAAAACGGTGTACATAAGCGACAGAAGAAGATTTCAAAGAAAGAGAAAAAAGTAGATATAGTCGACTTCGCCAATTATAACATCAAGACGATTTCACACCGACGCCCTGACAGAGAAGTTACAGCTTGCAGAAAGGCAACGCAAAAAATTGGCTACGATGACTGCTCAGATCTCTTCAATAGTCATGTTCTTTCATTGGCATATGAGATAAGAAGACAGATATTTTGTTCTACCGATTCCCTCTCCGAAATCTGGCGTGTTATTTTGCTGATCAAGGATAGAATAATACTTGGCCCGGAAAGGATAGACCTAAACACTAGAGGAATCTCACGCCAGCTCTCATCGACAAACTGGCCCGGCTCTACACACGTTACCTGTCAGAATATAGGGTCCCAGTCAATGGTAGGCAACAAGATCGTGATATTGTTCAAAAGAAGGAAACTTTTAAGGCGTAGGCAAATATTGCCATATTCTGGCTTTCTGCCTTCTATAAACTTCACTCGAATTACCCCAAACAAAACTCACAGTGGTAACCATAGAAACTTTGGACACTGGAGAAATGAGTATCTAAGGCTTTTAGAGAGATTTAGCACTGCTATAGACTACAACCACGCGATAACAAAACTCATTGAAGTATCGAAACAGCGTGAGAGATCGCTCTGCTTTACTTCTGTCGATTTTCAGAAGGCCTTAAATTTAGTTGAAGCAGAGGCAATCCTAGAAACTCCAAACAGCCAAGGCATACCTGCTCAATACACAAGGTTTTATTTGTCATATGAAGATTTCACAACTATCACTATATCGCAATCCTGTAACAATATCACTAAGGAGGTGAAAAAGAGGGGGTCGACAGGTCGATATTTTCTCGATGAAACCAATCACTGTCGCCTTCCAGAGCGTCATGTGAGCGCTACAATAGGGTAACATGTGAGTGAAATCGATGGTAGGCAATTACACCGTCTTTGCTTTGTTGATAGCATCGTTCTGATGACATCAGGCGTCGCCCATGTGAAACGAATGTTGACCGATTTCGACAGCGCCTGTGGAAAGGTTGGTCTCGGCAGAGTCTAACGAAAACGATGTTTCTGTGGAAGGGATTCGTTTTGAGTGACCCATTCACGGTCAACGGAATGAGGATTCTTCTAATCTCCAGCTACGTCTATCGAGGTCAGAAAAAGTCAACATGGTGAGTGACCTAGTTTTAGCGTTGAGCAGAAGAAAGGGGAGTGACCTGCGGGAGCGCTTGGAAACATCGAGAACCTAGTGAAGAGAACGAATAACATCCAGCTCTATGCCCACCTTTCCGGCTCAACTGCTGTCCGTCTTAACGTATGTATCAAAAACCTGGTCGCTATACTGAACCCGCAGCCCAAAGGGCGATGCTGAAGTACCCCGTACCTCTTAAGTTCGAGAGAGGATCCTAGATTTCTAACATAAGTTAGCGATCGAAAATTAATGGCAGCGTTTCAAAGTCAGACTATTGAAAGTAAGGTGAAGACAAGCTGGGAACGTATTGCGTTTTAACGCCAACCAACGGACAAGAGCCGTTGCCGACTAATTTTTTTGAGATGACAGACGCGCCATAGGCCAACGACATAGCGGTCTATCTTTTCACGAATAGCTAAGAAGAAAGATGCGATCTCTAGGAATTCCTAAATTGAGCAAGACTCATTGCACCGCTATTGCAAACGATAAGGGAAAATGGACGTTTTTTCTGGTGTCCGCTTCACTTGATGATCGACGAAACGACATGTGACAGTCGGTGCAAAAGATGTCCTGAATTTGGAAGAGTGTGCTTACAATGCTAAGATAATCTTGATCACCAAGTCTCCTCTGCTGAAGTTTCAGACATGTTTAACTGAATAGCTCGCTCACCAGTTTCATCTTTTCAGGCCTTAAAAAAGGTGACACTATTGAGACGTAAGCCAAACTTATACGGAATCTGTCCACCGTTCACAATTTTTTGCCTCCTTACCAAAAAACTGAATGATATAAACTTGTCGAGATAAGGTAAAGTCATTCCTGTAATTGCTACAGAATATTAGCTGCACAGTGGGCAATGTTATTGATTTGGCAAGAAATTTTACGGATTTTTCCGTTTTTGTTGACTATTTTTTAAGCATTTTATCAAGCGTTTTCTTAAGACCACGCTCAAATTTCGATATGCCAGATAATCCTTTTTTTTTTAGCCACGCAGATTGGAATACGTATATCGGGCTCTATAAGTCAGCTCTTATATAACAGAACACATGCGTGGCTCGAAAAATCTGATTATCTCGCATAATAAAATTTGAGCGTGGTTTTAAGAAAATACTCGAAACAGAAGGTATGATATATTAAGGGTACCAGAACACTGTTATTCAGAGATAATTTCACTGGACTTACAGTGTGAAATGTTCGTCGTCGCCTACGCTTAGTATAGGGAACTGAGAGCCTTGAGAAGATTGCCTAAAGGCGAAAAGGGTACCGCCCGACTGATGTGACCGTCAAGGTTGAAACACGTGTATCGGTCTCTATAAGTCAGCCCTAATATAACAGACCATGCGTGGTTCAAAAAATGATTATCTGGCATATTCTTTGAGCAATTGAGTTTTTACTTGTATTATCTCTAGAGCCCAGTGATGCTGAGTGATGTGCAAAACTTTCGCGTCAGCCGGGACTAGAACCCGCATCTCACTCTTTCCCGGATTGCGTGCTCTATCCGTTACACTACTGACGCCCATTTTGGACATCGCTCTTTCTACGTCACAGCGAATCTATCTGTCAGCCACCAGCCGTCAACGGCTTGGCCCAGATAGTCGGTCTCGACATTGAACCCAGACACGCTGGCAGATATTGGATACTAAAGATCAAACAATAACCTTTTTATTTAACCGCTTCTAGCGGTGGTATGATGTTACAAATATATACCCATTGATGCTGAGCAGACCGTTGACGGCTGGCGGCTGACAGATAGATTCGCCGTGACGTAGAAAGAGCGATGTCAAAGTGGGCGTCAGTAGTGTAACGGATAGAGCACACATTCTCGGAAAGACTGAGGTGCGGGTTCTAGTCTCTCCTGACGCGAAAGTTTTGTACATCACTCAGCATCAATGGGTATATATTTGTAACATCATACCACCGCTAGAAGCGGTTGAATTAAAAGTATCTTTAAAGCGGCTTTTTGATACCTGATACTCTTACACTCGTGTTACATGAAAGTGTCCCAAGAGTAAAAACGATTACTGATGCCAAACGAGTATCGTTTGGGTTCAATTGCTGCTCTGGCACACAACGATATTTGTGTGGCATCAACAACCTTTTTAGCTCTCGGAACAATTCCATATTGAAACAAGTGTATAAGTGTCAAATATCAAAGTAACCTCAAGAAGCTGCTCTAAATGCTAGTTCAAACAGAAACTTAAATGCATGGAAAATAATCAGTAAAAACGGAAAAGCCCACAAAATTTCTTCCAACTTAATATTGGGTCTTCTCATAAGTTGTGGCACTTGAGCAGTAAACACCAAATTTATTTACTAGAGACTTTTAGCTGGATTTTTTATAATCATTTGATAACCCAAATTTCAACAATTTGAACACAGAACTAACTTTCGTAAAGGTTTACAGAGAGCCCTGAAAGAGGAAAAAAACACGTTTTACACTAAACCTAAATAGCTCGCCACTTGAAATTCATAACTTATTTGGCAGACTGAAGCAAAAAAAGGCTTTTACACATAGAACGATAGAACAATGTTTCGTTTACAATAGTGATGTGAAAAACGTAAAAGCCTTCCACAGCGGAGAAAATTTTCAATTCAAGAATGCAAATTGCGCGTTCTCTCAAGCAACAAGCATCATTCAAAAGGATCGTGATTTTCGCAAATTTTTCATCGTTTCGGAGAGGGATTTTAGATTACTTGTATTGATATTGTGAATGAGAGTTGTCCTACCGTGCTATAGGTCGCAACTTTTTTTAGCTTCACTTTGCCAAATAAGCCCCTCATGAAGTTTAATCGACGAGCTGTTCACGTCGAGTGTAAAACGTAATTGTTCTTTTCACTCTGACAGCGCTTTTTGCAAGTCTTTACGAAAGCCAATTTCAGAGCCAAAGTTGTTGAGATTTGGTCTATCGAATGACCAATAATAATTAAGCTAAAAATCTCTGAGCTGAATGTGGGGCGGGATCACTGATGAGGAGGACGAACCTCCGAAACACCGGTGTATGACCCTGGCGTACCAGACCCTTTTTGAGCTTAAATCATTCTTTTTGGAATTATCTGCTTTTCCATGCTGGCGCTGATTAACATCCGGGTACAATATATTCAGTTGTCCCATAATTTCCTTCGCACCAATGTTTCCTTCGGTTTCGTTCGATGTCAAATCGGGTTAATGACAAAGGGATGCGGAGTGTTCGAGACTGCTCCTAGTTATTTTACCCTGGAAGGTAGTAACACTATCGCTCGCTGTAAAATACAATTGGCTACTGCAGCGTGAGTGTCTGGATGGACACCTCATACAAAGACCCACCACGACAACGCTGCACGCGCGATCATCTGCAAAAGTCTTTTTACTACGATCGCACAGAGGACTTTTTGCCAAATTGATCATCACCAAGATGAGTCCTGGGTCTATACTACGAGAACAACACTGGGCTACACCTAATGGTTGTCTCGTGGCAAGGATCCGCTAGCTCAACGCGTTCTATGCTCGGAAGATTATGCTCCCGATTTTTTGAGGACACGCTGATTTTAGAATTGTTCGATAACAAACAAACAAACAATTAACGTAGACATCTACAAGGAACAACTTTGGATGCTCGCCGCAGCGCTTGTGAAAGAAGCGTCTCAAATGACTAAGTGCCGCGCTTCTCTAGTATAACTATCGACCTCACGTTTGTAGAGTCTACTCGCTTTATTTTGAAAAAAACTGGGCTGAATCGCAGCGTCCACATTTGCCGCATATCTATTATTGCTCCAAGAGATTATAATTTTTCAGCGTCCTGAATAACCATCTGCATAAGAGCATTCACACACTTCAACCATTTCGAAAGTGGCCCTCACAGACTTCTTTAATTGCCAGCCTCATTCTTTCTGGAGGAAAAGCATCCAATTTTTGCTCACCAAGTGGTTTATAAATAAATAGCCCGTGAGTTTGCAAAATTGTCGCAGTGCGATAGATTTATGTAGTCTAATAATTTATTCTTCACTATCTGATCTATGTGGTACCGTACGTTTGCTTCTACATCAGTTGCATATTTCTAGTATTTTTGACGCGATTTTTCATCGATATGACTGTCAGTGACATTTTTTCTTCAGCTTTTTTCTCTCATATGCATAACTATTACTTTGATATGTATACTGTTTATACCCTTATGTCGTCTTTGCTACTGCTGCTGGATTATATTGTCTCATGTATAGATTTAACTGCCCAAGTTTTGAGATGGGTACGGCTGCAGGCAGAACCTGAGTCTCGTGTGAAGCACATCACTTTTCATTCTAGTCGCTAGCTCTTCTGTAAATGGTACATTGGATGCGTATAAGTATATGTTGCACCAGTTCAATTCTATCAACGACATCATCTCATCAGTTTATATTCATACAATGAATTTTGAGCCTTTCAGAGGTTTCTTATAGCACATATGCAGTGCGATATACGTATCAATCGTACCAGTCTCGTCGGTTGTACGGTGCCTCTTTTGTTCAGTCAATTCCTCTGACATCTAACTCAGTACAGAGGAGTCGATGAAAAACCTTTTACACTTAATGTACGGTGAAACAACCACACTGATGTTCTTTCAGAGTGTTTTATTATCAAACTCATGCGTATGGATGTCACGTGGGCTTATGTAAAAGTCAATTTGTACCGTTTGAATCAGATGTTTGATTAGGACCATGCTTAAATCTAAATCTATCTCATAATCATTATTTGAGGCAACACGTAAGGTCTGTTATGGGCTCTTGTGCAATCCGACACACGTGCTTGGGCCTTGCAGCCTTGTCAGTCGGGGCAGGCTTTTCGTCTTTATGCAATCTTCTCGGGGACTCTTACATCCACTTATAAAGAGGTAGGCGCGAAGAATGATTTTTACAGTACCTGATATTGTTATTTAATCCGCTGGTCTACATATTTGAGTTTTTTGACAACTTTCTCCTACCGTATTTTACTGAGTGAGCATATCATCAAAAGAGAGATTACGCAGTTTTTCACAATATTGCTATAATACGAACTCATCTTATAGGAAAAGGCTTGAAAAACTCAGAATTTTGTTAAGTGAAAAGGTGAAATCGCAACTAATTGTACATGAAGTATACAGACTACGCGAAAAGATAAGCCCGTTGTGATAGCCGCTGTACAACTAAATTAACTACTGAAAAGTTACGACGACACCCTTTAAACTATATCCTAAAAAAACTAACGAAAAGAAAGGCTTTGAAACCTCAGACAGATCACATAATTAGCGCAGTTCAGGACTTTGATGTGTGTTTCAATAATCATGAAAAATCTTTGATGGCTTCACCGACAAATGACAAAGTGAGACCGTCAAAAAGTAAAATAGAATTGAATGTTTCAAATCAAATCCTAAGTTTGGAAAGACCTGTACACAAACGAAACATACATCTAAACTGCTTTCCAAGTTTTCTTCGTATCTCATCACTCTTGCGGTTATATCAAAGAAGGGCATCCTTAGTCAAAATAAGAAATAGGCAGAAAATAATGTTCAAAAATGTGCTTTCAGCAACAGCTTTAGCCTAGCTGATGTTCATGGAGATTTCTACCCTCTAAATCAATATCGTTCACTGATCATTTTCGACAGCCGCTGAATGTGTTAAAACACGGTTAAGAGAAAGTCAAAACGAGGACTGCAATGGTGTACTAGAAAACTTCTCGATAACATCTGGATGAATATATTGAACTTTCTCACAGGCCTAAGTATCTGGCCACTGTGCGAGAGTATATCAGTGGGAAAAGATGGATATATGGTTATAGTTTACAGATCGGATGAAGGTGTAGAGGTGCGTTCAGCACAGTATTTAAAATGTTCAGCACTAAACGTGATTCAATTTTTTTCCGATTTTGAGTTCGGGCATATCTGGCATTCCGTTCCTCAGGTTCGGCAAAATGGTAATAGAATTGTCTGAAGTAGAATAATAGCATTTGATCGAAACATTGTTAGTCCTCACAAGCTAGGTCATTACGTGGGTCCGATCGTCTCTACAATCACTGATGGAATATAATGGTCAGTGATTGATCAACACCGATTGCTCTGTGTTTCTTACGCTTTATATAAGTATTAAACAAGTAGGTGCGATACAATAAGAATTTTTTAACTTCTTGTTGACAGTATATGATGTTCTAATTACATACCAAACGCTGGCAAGGATAAGCAGAACATGTGACCGTAGTTAGGAGATGAACTCGCATTGCACTCATACCGGTGCCGCGTGCTTCCACTACACTACGGTGACTATCGCTTCGCCATCGCACTTTCTTGGCAAGCGCCTGCGGTATGGATGAAACGAGGACTTAACTCCCGTCTGATGTCGAATATTTTGAATACTAATCAACACTTTTGGTTATATATATATATATATGTTATTATATGTTATTGTATGTTTGTTATATATATATATATATGTATATACGTATATATACTTATACATATATATATATACATATGTACATATATTATATAACATCATACCACTGCTAAGAAGTTGTAAATTACCTGGGTGCGATAC